ATACCTAAACCGCCAGCGACATCTGTTCCAGATGTAGCAACTTGCTTCATTTTTTGAAACACACGAAACGCAGTTAATAGGATCGCAAAGACAAACAAGATCGCAACTATGAAGCAGGCTCGACGTACGTTTATCACTGATCTTCTAGACATGTGCAGCCACCTTTCAATGGACATGACTGTCGTGATAAATATTTTGATAGTTGAAAAGAACGAAGCAGAGCCATAAGCCATAACACTTATTGCGAACATTGGTTTGTTGTTAACCGCGCTCATCCGAGGCTGTAGTGCGTAGATCAACCAGTTTGTGACATAAATAGGCTGGCTAATGAGTCCAGTGCCCAAGTCGGTGAGAGCCAATCCAGCGAGAAGAACATAAGAAGTTGTTCTTAGAGAAGGTTTCCTCCAAATTGCCACCAAAATCAAACCATTAGCCACCACTGTCAGCGGCGACAAAATTGCGACGACAACTGATGTGGACAAAATTATTACGTAAAAGGCTGAACCATGACTTGGTGCTTCGAATTTAAAGTAGAAAGGATGTGGTGGAGGAAAATATGTCACGTTATTATACATGACGATTTATTCCCATAAGCAGAGGAGTAATTGATCTTCAACTTTCAAACTAAGCTGTAAAATAAATTTAGATCGTTTTTCACCTGCTTGTTCTAATTTTCATTTCGTTTTTGTCTACCTTTGTGTGCAAAGCTATTTCCTTAAGATAAAAGGCTCTCTTGGTTTTAGTTAAAATCTTTAATTAGTTCTTATGACTTTTTTGTCGGCTTAAACACCCTGTAACGTTAAGCTCTTAAGGCCATAGAAGATTCCTTTATTTCTTCCGTTGGGCCAATCAATTTTCCCAGAACAAAATGAATAGCAGCTAAGCAACCTAAATTAAAGGTTTGCTTGAATCTCCTTTGGCTTAAGAACAAAATTTTTCACTGTTCTCATACAAGTAGTAGGAATAAAACTGAAATAAAATGAAAAAAAAAACGCACCCCCCCTCCCTCCACAAAAAATAAAATAAAATAAAATAAAATAAAATAAAAAAAATAAAAAAATAAAAAACATACGCGTACGTTTACCATATTTGCAGAACATGGTATAATGGCTCATATACCATGATGGCTAAGCCAATGAAAACTTTTGAATGCATAATCGAATGATTTCAATAATGTAAGTTATCTTGACATAGCAATTTTACGCCAAAATAATCGCGCCTCGTGGAAATGTATATTTGTACTGTCTTTTGTGGCATTTCAATTAAGGGAATTGAGAAAGTTTTTCTCTTAATGGTTAAAACAGGACCAGTTAGATAAAAGAAATCAGACAAATTTGATTTTCACATGCATGATTGAAACTAGTTGCATCATGAACAGGCTTTCTCGAAAAAAATATTTGCAATAGTTTCATTTACACCGGTTTTCATTTTATACGGCTAAATCAATTAATTCAGCAATAGAAGTCTCGAACGTTTAGCAACGGGGATGGCTGATTTCGAACCTTTTTGACTAAATTGTGTTACAGCGTGGCTCGTTACATCGAGTAAAACCTCCTGTGTTTAGTCGGCTCAAATTCATCTTCATTGCAACGAGCTGTCTTTTTATTGCTAGTTATCTGGACGAAAGATTCCTTTAATATATATGTACTTGTACGTGTTTTTCAGAATAGGTGGCATACCCTGGGTGTGCACGGTTTGACTAAATGTAAGATTAGCTTAATTAGGAGAAAGTTCTTTATTGGGATAAACGTGTTTTTTTTATCCACTAAGTTGAAATTTCCTTCTCGTATAAATGAAGGCAATAAATGCCAAGTTGTAATCTGAGTTATTTAAAAGGAGGAAACTTTAGTGATATTCAACTTGTTCTCCTTATCTAATTCTATTTGAGAAGTATTCGTTTGACAAGAAGTTTCACTTCATTTCGAATATCTTTCATTCTCCACAAGTAGAGAAGAGGATTAAGCAAAGCAGACAGAAACATAAACAAGAAAGAAAAATTTATAGATAAGACGACTAGTTCATTGATCAAAACTGTCGATATTCCCAAAGAGATGGCGGCAGGGATATAACCCATGTAGAAAACAACAAGTATATAGACGATTGAGAGCACGGATTTCTTGTATTTCGTCACGTTAATCGTTGGTTGAGCAAAGTTTTCAGACATCTCGTTCGCCCGGATTTGCTGCTGATGGCGACGAATTATTCGAAAGACTTTAAAGTAAGCAACTGAGGTTGCAGTAAGCAGGAATGTCATACCTAAACCGCCAGCGACATCTGTTCCAGATGTAGCAACTTGCTTCATTTTTTGAAACACACGAAACGCAGTTAATAGGATCGCAAAGACAAACAAGATCGCAACTATGAAGCAGGCTCGACTCACGTTTACCAGTGATCTTCTCGACATGTGCAGCCACCTTTCAATGAACACGATTGTCATGATAAATATTGTGATACGTGAAAAGAACGAAGCAGAGCCCTAAGCCATAACACTTATTGCGAACATTGGTTTGTTGTCAACCTCGCTCATCCGAGGCTGTAGTGCGTAGATCAACCAGTTTGTGACATAAATAGGCTGGCTAATGAGTCCAGTGCCCAAGTCAGTGAGAGCCAATCTAGCGAGAAGAACAAAATCAGACCATTTGCCACCGCTGTCAGCGGTGAAAAAATGGCGACGACAACTGATGTGGACAAAAATTACCAGGTAAAAGGCTGAACCATGACTTGGTGCTACGAATTGAAGTAGAAAAGATGAGTTGGAGGAGAATACGTCTCGTTATTATACACGATGGTTTAATCTCATTAGAAAACTAAGCTGTAAACTGAATTTCGATCGCTGTTCACCTGCTTGTTCTAATTTCAATTTTGTTTTTGTCTATCTTTGTGTGCAAAGCTTTCCTAGTTAAAATAAAGGGTTCCCTAGGTTTGAGTTAAAATCTTTAATTAGTTGCTTATTTCTCTGTTGGGCCAATTTAATTTATTTTCCCAGAGCAAAGTGAATAGTAGCTAAGCAAATAAATATTTGCTTTAACCTCATTTTGCTTAGCATACAAGTTTTTCGCTGTCCTAATACTGGTAGCAGGAATACCCAGAAAAAAAAATAATTAAAGTATTTTTAAAGAGAAGCTTCCATTCAGACAAATACAAAATTAGCTGCTGTTACCGCTTTTAAGATAAGAGAAATTTTCAATCAATAGATATAGGGGTCAAAGGGGGAGCCATAAGTTTCCGACAAATAAGCTTACTGTAAAGCCACAATAAGGAGCTTTGCATTATAGTGGGTGGCTCGTGCTACCGAGGCGAAAGAGTTTTTTTCGAGAAGACCTTTAGCGACAAAGTCCATCATGTATTGTACGTTATTTTGCCATAATAAGTGTAACTCGTGGAAATGTATATTTGTAATGTATTTTATGGCTTTTTCAATTTCAAAGAATTGAGAAAGTCTTTCACTTAATGGTTAAAACAGGACCAGTTAAAAAAAGAAATCAGAAAAATGTGATTTTCACTTGCATGATTACAACTAGGTGTATTATGAACAGGCTTTCTTGAAAAGTATTTCCAATATTTTCTTTTACAACGGTTTTCATTTTATACACAAAATCAATTTAATTCGAATCTATATGAATAAATTGTGCTAGTGTGTTTTATTTCATCGAGTAAAAACTTCTGTGTTTAATCAGCCCAAATCCATCTTCTTAACTAACAGCTTTATTTTTATTCCTAGTTTTCTGGTCGAAATATTCACTTGACCAACTTTTTAACTTCATTTCGGATATCATTCATTCTCCATAAGTAAAGGAAGGGGTTACGTTAAGATGACAAAAATAAAACTACGATTGAAAGGTTGAGTAATAAAACGGTAAATGTGCTATCATTCGAAACAAGCTGAATTGCTAAGGCAATAACTACAGGAATGTGTCCAATATAGAAAATATATAAAGGAGCGAAAACACAGATTTCTTGTATTTTTCAAAGTTGATCGTTGGTTGGGCGAAGTTTTGGGTTATGTCATTCGACTGTATTTGCAGCTGATGGCGCGAATTATTTTGTAACCTTAAAAGTAGGCCGTAGACGTTTCAATAAGGCAAATCAGCTCACTCAAAATGGAAGAAATATCTGATTCGAGTCTGTAAGTTCCCTGAATGTTGTTCAATGCGCGATAAACAACTAATGGGATCGAAAGGAACAAAGAGCAAAGAAAAACGAAACAGGTTCGACGCACGGTAATCATTGATCTACGAGTCATGTGCAGCCATCTTTCAACGGACATGACTTCTGCTGATGGCGACGAATTATTCGAAAGACTTTCAAGTAAGCTACTGAGCTGACAGTTAGCAAGAATGGGACTAGTGAACTGGAAATAACATCTACCACAGGTGTAGGAGCTCGCTTCAATCTTTGGAGCACACGATACACAGTTACTGGAATAGGAAGGAGAAATAAAGAGACAACAATGATAAAGGCTCGACGCACGTTTATCAGCGACCTTCTAGCCATGTGCAACCACCGTTCAATTGACATGACTGTCATAATAAATGCTGTACTGTGTGAAAAGAGCGTGACACAGCCATCGACCATAGCATAAGTTACAACCACGCTCCCCCTAGGTTTTAACAAGTAAATCAACTCGTTTGTGACATACATAGGCTGGCGGATGAGTCCAGTACCCAAGTCGGTGAGAGCTAATCCAGCGAGCAGAACATAGGAAGGATTTCTCAAAGATTGGTTCCTCCAAATTGCCGCCAAAATCAGACCATTAGCCACCACTGCCAGGGGCGATAAAATGGAGACGGCAACTGCTGTGGACAGAGATATCCCGTGAAAAGCTGAACCATGAATTCGCGCTATGCTTTCAAACTTGAGAAGAGGAGGCAGGGCAGAATGAGTCATATTATTATCCATGACGGTCTATTCCTTGAGCAGAAGACAGTCCTGACTTCACACTTCCTGACTTAGCTGCAGAATAAATTTTGATCGATTTTGACCTGCTTGTTCTAGTTCTAAATTTCGTTTTTTGTTTGTTTTATTTCGGATCGTTTCATTGTTTCCTTATAAATGTTGTGATGTTAAGCTTTTAAGGCCTTAGTGTCATATAATTGTCATATTTCTTTGCTGGGTCAATTTATTTCGCAGAACGAAGTGAATAGCAGCTGCCGAGGACTTTCCCATAATATTATGATGACAAGAGGTCCATTATTCGAGCTCGGGCCACAATGGTGGTCATTCAACATGTTCACAGATGATTGGGCAGTTTTGTGAGACCATGATTGTTGTATCAACTTATTAAGACTGGTTATAATTAACCATCAAAATCTAAGTTCTGGCAAGTGCTGAAAACTGTTTTGAGCCACTTTAAACCGTCTTTTATTTCTTATCGCATGGCTACATATTCATTAATTAAATGCACTACATTATAACAACTTGAAAAAGGATGATTTCCCAAGCTCTACCAAAAGAGTGGATATATTCTTTAGAAGGCCTTTTTTTGCCTGTTTTCTTCTCACACAAGAATGTTTTTTTTTTTCTAGCTTTAGGTTTTTGTGCAGTTATTAACTATACTTTTATAACTATTTTATTATTATAACTATTCTATTATTGTTTATGATTTGTGTACCCGGGCTCGTTTCTCGAGAGCCCAGTAACTTTTCGGGCTCGCAAGGCCATTTTTAGATAATCTGTATCTAAAAACAGAGAGGTGTATACGACTGAAACTCCTTGTGTGAAGAGAACCTTCGTTCATATTAAGAATATCTGAATAAAACAGGTCTGTAATCATAAGATTTGAGATTTTGCTACGGCTTTCCGGGTTAGAAAACTTTTCGGGACCTTCGAGAAACGGGCCCTAAGGCCGTTATGAAAACCGCATATTTGCTGTATGCGCCCTGTTTAAAAATTATTATTAGTAGTATCTAGAAAATTTAATTCAAAAACGGACTGAATACACTGGGTTGAAAGGGTTGTAATGCCAAGTTGCTGAGATTTCGTTAAATGTTAATACGTTTTACTTTATACCGTGAGCTAGGACTTGTGATTACTGGGAAAGGTAAAAAGTGTAACAAAGTTCATTTACCTAGTTGCTTTTACAGAATATTCGTTTACGCAGCTGTGCCACTTCATCTCTAAGATCTTTCATTCTACATAAGAAAATCAGAGGGTTAAGTGAGGAAGACAAAAACCCTAGCAACGCAGACACATTGAAAAACAGCAACTCTACGTCAGGGTGTGTCAACACAAAGGATGACATAATTAGTGGTATCAGTATGGGAAGGTAAGATATATAAAAAATTGCTATGATATAAAGAATTGAACACACAGATCTTTTGTACTTCACAAGGTTGATTGCTGGTTGAGCAGTGTTTTGCGCCAATGTATTTACCTGGATTTGCTGCTGATGCCGACAAATTATTCGAAAAACATTGAAGTACGAAACTGAAGTAACCATGATACAAAGAATTAAAAGGATTACAGTAACAAATTGCGATTCATTTGTGTAGTAGTAGACTGCTGACGGCAGCATAAAGGACAGGAGTAGCAGAACAATAAAGCAGACTCGACGAACAGTAAGCCAGGATCGACGAGTCATGACCAGCCATCGTTCTATTGACATCAGTGTTATCACCGACACAGTAACCTGAACAAAATATGTGGCAAGACCGTCGCCGATAGCCTTTGTTGTCAGGTAAAACTTTGGCCAGCTGGTTGTGTCATGATAGTTAAACCGAGGATCTGCAAGGTAGATCAATTGATTTGCCACAAAAAAAGGCTGGGAGATGAGTCCAGTGCAAAAGTCGGTGAAAGCCAATCCTGCGAGCAGAATGTAACAAGGGGTTCTCAGAGACGACTTGCTCCAAAGTGCCACCAAAACCAGACCATTTGCCACCACTGCAACGGGCGATAACACAGCAATGGGAATCAAAAGTGACAGATTCACCACATACCAAGTATAGCTGTCGTGTTTCGCTTCATGGTCAAAATTAGACGGCTGGTGAAAAAATGCGCTTGTGTTGTTTGACATGGAGACTTCGCGAGTTCGACTCTCCCGTAGCAATCTTTTCTCACAAACAAAGCTCTTCTAGATAAGTTGTAGAGTTATGGAAAAGACCGGAATTTAACGTGTCCCATATAGCACCGAAAACGAAACCCGCTGAGCAAAGTTAATTTTACTCAGTTAACTCTTGTTCAAAGATAGG